AATTGATAGAGCAACTTTCCAGAAACCTCACAGCAGTGTAGTGGGCATGGCAGACGTACATTGAGTGTGCCGCGGGAAAAATATATTTTTTCATTATTTATTTTTAAAGTTTCAATATCTTATTAAAAGTTATTAGAATTTTGGGTTTTTCTAATTCATTCATTCATTCAATCAATCGTTTTGTCTTCATTCATCTACTCATTTGTTCATCCATTTATTTATTAATTCATAAATAATTTAATTAATTAATTAATTAATTTGTTCATCATTCATTCATTCATTCATTCATTCATTCATTCATTCATTCATTCATTCATTCATTCATTCATTCATTCATTCATTCATTCATTCATTCATTCATTCATTCATTCATTCATTCATTTATTCATTCATTTATTTTTTCATTCATTCATTCGTTCATTCGTTCATTCATCCATTCACTCATTCATGAAAATAGAATGAGAATAATTTCACGATGGCTAGCCGGTGATGATAATTCGGACTTCAGAGGCAGTGGGAAGTGTAACACGAGGAATAATAATAATAATAATAATAATGATAATAATAACAGGAACAAAAATTAAACCAAATTTATTTTTTTTTTTATTATTCTTTAAAAATCAGGATCTGACAGACGCAGAAACTGTAACAACATGCAAGGCAGTGAAACAAAATTAAACAAATAAGTGAGAAAATAAATACAAAAAGTGAGGAAGAGAAATGATAAAACGTGAAAAATAAAATATGTTAGAATAAAATAAATAATACTAATAAGACAAATAAAAGAAAAGTAATTGACGATGGAATATAAAATGAAGTAACGGCAAATTGATAGACTAGATGATGACTTAGTGGGTTAGTCAGGTGATCGATAGATAAAGGCTAGGCCTGTGTGTGAAAAAGTTTAATGAGTTTTAATATATTTGGTAACTTATTAATAGGCTAAACGATGACTTAGTGAGTTAGTGAGGTGATCGATAAAAGTGAGGTGATCAATAAGTAAAAACTAGTTCAGTAATGATGAAATTTTCTTAAGTGCTAATGTGTTTGAGGTGTCTTGTGATGAAGGTCTTTTCCTGGTATGTAGATTGGGTGACGACTTGATAGTTATGTTTGCGCTGACGAAGGTTGTGTGTTGTAGTTTTGATTTTGATTGAATTTACTAAAAAAAGAATAAAGCAAATGCCACAACAACAGAAGTTAGAACAAGACGGAATGAATGTAAATAAAAGTTGTAGTAGTAAGAGAAGAATTTAGAAAAAAAACACATTTTCTATACATGCAAAGCAGAAAAAAATCAATATTTGGTTAGTTAAGATTCGTGAAAGCAAGAAAAATAAAAATAAATAAATAGGAGCAAACGTAAGAAAAACTCTTCATAAATTTTATAAAGTATTCTGAAAAATCTAAACAAAAATTTTCAAACAACAGACATTCGAAGTAACCATGAAAGAGGAGAGGAGCAAAGAAAGGATCACAAAAACTTATAAACATACAAACACTCACACACACACTCAAGCGCACTCATACAGAAACATACAAACACACACTCAAGCATACGCACTCGCACAAAAATGTACAAACATACACTGACACATATACACACCCAAACACACTCATACGGAAACATACAAACACACACACACACACACACATATATATATATATATATATATATATATATATATATATATATATATACTCAAACAAACGCACTCACACAAACACACAAGATACACGCCTTTATCCGGGTAAAGAATATAAAATTCATAGGCAGCATCTATAAATATTTACCATGAGAAGACGATTTTATTTGTGTCAGCAGTTCGTATTGTATCCACACACCACACACACACACAAACGCACACACTCACATACACACCACACGTTCTCTCTCTCACACCACACGCCCATAAGACATACACAGACACACCTTTGTAAGTGAAAAGACAATACTGGTAAGTCTACACAAACACAGATACCAAACTAATTATGACTCAAATTATTCAAATTAAGTCACAAACTTAAACACAAAAGACAATGACAAACATCGTTTCAACAAACACCCTCTTCGCCTTAATTGTCATTCTTATAAATTTCAAATCAAATATAGCAACTACCTCTACCTAAACATATTGTTAAGTAGTAGTAGCAGCAGTAGTATTATATTGGCAGTAGTAGTAGTATCAGCAGCAGCAGCAGTAGTAGTTTTACTACAAGATACCCACAAAAAACTCAGACACATGCCACGTGCGTAGAACCAACAACACATAAAATTCTCGTAACTACAGTCGTACAAATTGGACGCACGGGGCTCGAGAAACGGACTGCTGGCCCCCAGAGGACAGTAGTTATTCGTAAAATTCAATTCCTAAGTATATTGTTCTTTATTGGTGAGAGAGAAGAAACCCCAAAGTTAATTTTTAATCAGTGAAACACGGAAGTCGTTCGCTGTTAATTCTTTATCATCGTCGTTTGCATAATTTAGGTGCATTGGGTAGAAAACAGTTGACACACGAGAAATTTACCTATCTCGCACACATGAATTTGAACTGTAAAATCTTAAAAACGTAAAAATTATAATAATAATAAAACACAATTTTGTCATTTTGAAACTGTTTGTTTGTGATGATAATAATTAACTACATGTTCGTATAAAGAGTAGAACAATAAATTAACTAATCGAACCATTTTACGAAAATAATTCAAAGATTAATTAAGAGAAAACAAATAAATAAATTGACAAAAAACAAAAACCTCAGTCGGCATGCAACGATAAAAATTTATCAAGAAACAAAAAAAAATGTCAATATTTCTTTTTCTTAAACCGCTTCATGTACAAACCCCTGCCAAACCAGCCAGGGGCGCAGACATCTGGTGCCTTAGTTGGAACCTTCAGGTAGCAGGCATTGACGTAACTGTGATCCAGGCTCAATAGTTTGGAATTATTTTTAAAAATATCGCTAATTTTCCTAATTTTTTTGCACTTTTTTCTCCGGCCAACTTTTAACTTTTCTTTGAAAGTTTTGCCGACTTCACATGCAGGTTTATTATTATTATTATTACTATTATTATTATTATTACTATTATTATTATTATTACTATTATTATTATTATTACTATTATTATTATTATTACTATTATCATCATTATTATCATTATTATTATTATTACTATTATTATTATTATTGCCGTCGTAATCATTGTAATCATCATCGTTGTCATTGTTTGATATCATCCCATCATCACCGTCCTGCTGAGCGGATGATATAGATAGTGTATCATCTGAATTGGCGCCATCATCATCGGCAGCTGGTCTTGCAAAACTATTTGAATAAAAAGTGCTTTTGCAATCGATCTTATTATGATTTCTATTAATCTTACCATAATAATTGTTATAATTAATTCTATTATGATTATTATTACTATTATTATTCACATTATTATAAATGATGTTGTTTCTGGTCGTGATATTATTAACGTGAATAATGCCATTGTTAACATCATTAAATGTTAAATCATTATTATTATTATTATTATTATTATTATTATTATTATTATTATTATTATTATTATTATTAGCAGCAGCAAAATTATTCAAGCCGCCACTATCAGAACGACTGATAATGTTTATTATTTTTCTCTTTCTACCTCTACGCCTGATTGGTTGGGCTGACGATGACGCGATTATGACGTTATTAATAATATTATTATTGTTGTTGTTGTTGTCGTTAGTATTGTTGTTATTGGTGTCATCATCTTTCATAGGGTCGTTGTTATCACAAATTTTATTATCAGGTTTGTCGCTAGGCGAATTGCTGTTCGTTTTGTCAATAGCACATTTTAAATTGACGCTGTTAATGTCTTGGCTGCCGTTGTAGTTGTTGTGGCTGCTATCGCTGACGATTATTACGTCACCGAGCATATTTATTGATGACATCATTCCGTTAGCTACCAAAGAATTAAATTTCAAATGGCCATTTAAGGATTTTTCAGTTTCAATTGAAAAATTATTATCCACAAGGAAATTAGTCAGACCTGAGGTTTCAACACGATGTGACGTCATATTTTTCTTTTTTATAGGAAGACGTACTGATGATGAAGGCTCAACATTTGATAATTGTGTGCTACTGTGATCTGAAAAATTTAAATCTGATTTATAATAGTTGCTGTTGTTGTTGTTGTTGTTGTTGTTTGTGGCAGAGGTTGATTTTGTTGAGATGCTATCACAGTTGATGTCATCGGGGTTTCTGGAAAGTTTTTTCCACTCTATCGTTGACAAATCATTTGAAATGTCAAACATAGTAGTTGCATTTTGTTCCAGCTTAATGTCATTATCTGCAGATATGTTGTTGATGCTGTTGATGCCACTGCTATTGCAGTTTATAATGTTGTTGTTGTTGTTAGTGTTGATGATGTCATTTTCGTGTTTATAATTAAGGTCAAATGATAATTTATCTTCCACCTCTTCCTTTATGGAAGCTTTTTTATCATTAACCTCACCACCATCGTCGTCATCGTCGTTGACGTCATCAGTGACGTCACTAATTCCTAATTTTGAAAATCTGCTAAACTTATTGTGCAGGGGTTTCCTTTTACTCCTGTTTAGGATATGCCTGACTTTGGCCATTCTTCCAGGCTGTCTTCTAACAGAGGCACACTCAACATCATTTTTAATTTTTCCATCATCATCGTCGTCGTCATCATCTTTATTTCTACCATTGCAATTTGTTAAATCCAGATTTTTATCTCTCCCGTTCTTCGAGATAACTCTAGAAGATTTTTCGTCATCACATCTACCATAAAAATCGTCATCGCCATTTTCTTTTTTACAAAATTTCCCGCCGAAATGAACATCCTCATCATCATCGTCGTCGTCGTCGTCATTTCTCTGGTCATCATCTTCGTCATCAGCAGTGTCGTTGCTGTAGTCATACATGTCGTTGTTGTAGTTCTGTTTATGCCGCTCTTGTTTGTGTCGCCGTGGTCTGGTGGCCAGTGTCGTAGCCCTCTTCTCGACCTTGAACCTTAGCTGGTAGTGCGTCTTCTTCACGAAACCATCTGGTAGAGAGAGAAGTTTTTTGGTGGTGGAATCGAGTTCGTTCGGTCGGAGGGGGGTTGACAGGTGGAAAAGTGGGTCGTTGTATCTGCGTGGGTGGGTGGGTGGGTGGGTTGTGTGTTTGCATTGTTGACAGCGCAACGTAACATGAGAGAATGAGAGTTAATTTTTTTTTATATTTATCTTCTCACATCTTAGACGTGTTAAACAAACCGCTATTTGCAATTCATAGTAGACAATTTTTAACAAGAATCAACTTTCTGACGGGCTTTCAATTGTTACGCAATGAAACTTCTGAAATTTAAGAACGATCAAAGAACATGCCTGTCGTATCTAGGTACTTGAATATTCATTAGATTCATCAGCTGCATCATCACGTCATCACACCGGCCTGCAGATGCGGTACATTATCATAAATATGATAATTAGGTGACAAATGTATCACGAATATTTGCGACATTGCAAAAAAATGTATAAGACAGCTTACAAATATAAAACAAACAATGAGAGAGAGTGAGAGAAAGAACAAATCAGATCATACATGATACAATTCTTCATTCATTCATCCATCTATCCACTAACTATACCATTGATTTTTAGGACGGCATGCTTATCTTTTGGGGTCCATTGCAGATTGACGATGACGAGTTTCGGCTGTTCAGAAAGTGGTTTGTGCTTTACCCAGAGACAATCATACTTCTTGAGAACTTTCAAACTGGTACCAAGGCATAGTATAACATCTGCTTTGTTAGCTGCACTTGAAGCCTGCGTGTGTGTGTGTGCGTGCGCGTGTGCGTGAGTGTATGTGTGTGCGTGTGTGCGCGCGCGTTTTTGATGTTAACAGTTTGATTGCTAACATGCAAACAGGTGAAACAGGAAAAAAAATTGCGAGAAGATGAAACAGTGCATCTAGCACTAACACATCTGGCAACATGTATTCTATTTGAATTTGAACTAGGGAACTACGCAACTGTCCACCAAAGGAGTAGTTCTAGTAGGCATGCTATCTCATTCAAAACAGAAACAATTTGATTGCCTATGGTATATAATTATTGGTGCCTTCTTACGTTGAGTTATATAAATTGTGATACCGAGGCATATTTTGATAAGTGAATGGAAACTACACTTTGGCGCAGGATGTGCAAGACCATTTCACCATTACACCACCAACAACAACAACAACAACACGCATCTTCACCTGTTTCCAGTTGTAAGGAGATTGAAAGGGACTCTTCTCACCGAAGTGAATGATGGTGTCGTGTAGGGCCGATCGACACTGGTGACAACATCGACTCGTCTTGTGACGACGCATTGCAGTTCGCTCCGTGACGTCAAACAACCTCAGGTACTCAATTCGTGGCTGGCACGTTCTGCAAACCTGTTTTCAAAGTTTTTAAAAATGGGTGTTTGAAAAACTGAAAGATATATTATGAAAGTAACTCAATGAACTGTGTGTGTGTGTGGTGTGTGTGTGTGTGGTGTGTGTGTGTGTTAGTGTGTATGTGCGTGTTTTTATGTATGTGTGTTGTCGACTGAGAACTAATGAAAAGAAAACCCCGAAAACTTAAAAATGAGAGGGAAAAAAAAAGAAAAAGAGAACAGCAAACCTCAATGTACATGTTCCCATGAAGTTCACTGAGGGCCGACCGTGGCAGGCCACTTCGAAGATGCAGACCGTCACAATTTTGCGACACGACCCTCTTAACCTGGACAGAATAATTACAAAAAAAATATTTAATTTTAATTATATGAATAATATTTTATATAATAATAATAACAACAATAATAATAATAGTTTGTAAGATTTTAGTATTCAAATGTAACTTCAATACTAACATATCCCTTTTTGTATAGTTCAGCTATCGACATGTGAGTAAGCGTAGGCTCGGCTAGGCTAAGATCAGAAGTCCTGTAGTAAAATTATTTATTATTTATAAAAGTACAATTATTTATAAATATCATAAAGTACAATTATTTATAAATATTATAAAAGTACTTTTCATTTTCATGGAGTAACAGAGCTACTACAACTATGATTAGTGAGAATTGAGAAAAAGTTGAGAATGTTGAAATACTGCTAACAGGCATTGCTTTCCTTGCTTTAGTAAAGTCCAAATGCCATTTGGCCCTCTGTAGTCAGGTATTGATGCAGCCTTTTTTTTGGTGATTTTAATTTAAATTTAATTTTAATAATTTAAAATTGGAAATTTTTCTATAAATAAAATTTAATAATTACCATGAGTAAATATTGAAAAAGTTATTTATTATTACAATATTATTTAACAAGCCTGATGAGAATTTATTACAAAGAATATTTTTTAAAATTGAAAAAACCTTCTTTTAGACATTTAAGCAATCAAATAAATAAATAAAATTAATTTAATTAAAAAAAAAGAAAGTAAACAAACGAATTCGATTTTAAAAAAGAAAAAATGAATTTAAAAATAATTAAAATACACACAGTGCTAATGCCAGCTCCAGAATAGATTATCAGTGACTTGGAATGTTCGATAATTGAGGCCAGTTTTCTACATTTCTTATCCAGGTCATGTGATATGTCTTCCACCTGACATAAAACAAATTAATTGGTCAATTAATTAGTTAATTGGATGAATGAATGAATGAATGGATGAACAAATTATGGATGAATTATTTTTGAATTGATGAAATAAAGAGTCAATTATATGATCTTTGGTAATATGTTTACCTCCTGTTTTCTCTCCATATGCCGTTTATTGTTCAACTTCCTCTTGCATATCTCACCAACGATTTGAGAGCAATTCTTCAGAACTTCAAGTTCATGTTCGGATCTGACTGATTCTTCTTTTTTCAATATGGCTGTTACCTTTGAAGAAGAAAATAAAATAAATGGATTAATAAACAGAAAACTACGGACTACATTCACTATTTGGTATAATCAATTTTAGGATAACACTTCCTTTTGGATTATTTCATCCCCTAGAAGAAGCTCCTTCCATGTTGTTTCAAAGCAGGCACTAACAAACACCTACAACTACCTACCTACATCAATTTTCAATTTCAACAGAGCCTTACTCAACTCACTCAATGTTGTTCTATTTCCTTGCAATTCCACAGACTCTAGCAATAGCCCAGCACAACCAAATACTTTAACAGTTAACTTTACTTTACACACATAATTTTTTAAAATTTATTACTAATTGAAATGTTATGATGGTTGTTATTATAATAATATTCCTCCGTCTCTATCATTTTTTGAATGGGTTTAACGTTAATTGGACAGTTGACTGATCACACACTTTTAGAAAAACTGATTTTTTAGAGAAAACATCTTATTCGCTAAAAGCTCTTATTATAATATATAAAATTTATAAATGTTAAATAAATAAGATAAGGATACAAAAAAAGAAACAACCAAACAAAACAATAATTGGCAAGCAAGCCAAACCATGCACTTGCCACAATCTAATAAGCAAACAGAATTTTCCAAAAGTTACCAATTTCATTTGATTCTTCGTTTCATCTTTAAAGGAATCCGACAAATTTATGCTCTCGATCCGGCTCGATCGCCTCATGTTAGTTAGTGACAGAATAAATTAAATATTATTAAATTAAAAGTGAACGCACAAAAAAAAACTCTGTCAATGAAATTAAATATATGTAAGTGATTCGCCTCGCCAGTTTTCAAAGATCTTCTAGCGTTTAATTTTACGAAATTCAAGAAATTAAAATTTAAGAAATTCACCGCAACATCCTAATTGAAAGAACCACGCGATGACAAACATTTCCACTTTTACATTTATGAATACATCCAAAAAACATTTTAAATATTTATTTCACATTAAGCAGTTCAAAATAATCATTTTTCAAAGAATCCCAGCTGAATCTTTGGAAATCAATCTGAAATGAAAATTTGATAGCAATTTTAAATAATAATCTTATCCCGAATTAGTTTGAAAAATACCAACTCACCTTAACGTTGGAATTCCTAACAGCTTTAGGATTCTGACAAAAGGATTCAAGTTTTCCAATCAAATCAACTTCATTCTTGTAGAGGCACTCAGCTACAGAAGCAGTATCATTAATTACAGTTGTACCAAAAGTCTATAATACCATGTCACACTTACCCACAAAGACATTTGAGCTGACTAAAAATTAATTATTAAAATGTGGAAAAAATGAATAGTTAACTAACTAGGAAAGATTTCAGGATAAACTAAAATGTTAGGGACCAGTGGGAAGCATCCCAAATAAGCGGCTTCAATCCTTAGAAGAATTTTAACAAGATTTGTAAATTTTTCATAACGATCAGTTTTCATTGTATTATGTGAAAAAGATATAATTGAAAATATGAAATCAAATTGGAGCAAAACTAACATGGCAACTCCAAAAAATTCATGTACAGCAGTAGAAATGACTACATCACAAGTGGATAAGATTTTAAAATAATCTTCTTTAGAAGCAACAAAGCCACAATGCTTGATGTGACGTTCCAAAACTTTTTTATCATCATCAAACATATCTGAAAGAACAAAAAACAATATAAATAATGAACAATATGACCTATTCATTACAACACTACTACCTGTTTCAGAGAAAGACTGTCCAAGAATATACACATCAAAATTTAATCCTTTGAAAGTCAAGCTTTTTAGAGTTTTTAAAAACAACTGTGGATTCTTGTCATGCTCCCTTTTGAATGAAAACCATATAAAATAAATAAAAAGTGTACAAAATTCAATGAGCTATATTAAAACCACTAACACACAAAATTTTACCATCTGTGAGGCCAAACAATTTTTAAAGGAGAATTATCAATTGATACTTTATCTGATGGGTTGTCTTTTTTTAAAATGTTACTAGATGAAACAACATCATTTTCTTCATATATGACATCAGGCAAAATTCTTTTGATACCATTTATTAATTCCACTGGGAAGTAAAGAGTTCTGCACTTATTCATAATCTTTTGTTCAATATTCATTGGTCTGTAGTCAGGCATGAGTTTGAAAAATTTCTTAATATTACCGAGGAATGATGTCCTATTAAAGTCTGAATTGAACAAAATGACATCTGCGACCAAGCTAGTAAAAGAAAAATCATAATTTTGGAATGTCACTTATGAGAATGAACAATTTTGACAACTATACAAACCAGGACAAAATTTGATTGTAGCCATATTGAAAATCTCTTTCTTGCTGCTTTCTTACTGGGTACACAAGTTGATTTTCATGAAAATAAATTATTTTCTTTAGCTTATACAAGTCTGGTCTCAGAGCAACGAGCTCAGTTAAATTTAAAACAGAGCTACAAAACAAAATCCTGTGATGAAATTTTAAATGTATTCAAATAACCAATAACTGAATTATAAATACTAATTTATTAATTATATTAAAATTAATCTTCTTAATTATTACAATACTGAGTCAATACTGAAACAGAAAATACAAATACTACATACAAAAAGAAAATCAAAGGATTGAGTAAATAAAATTAGCAGAACTAAATTGAAATGGCCCGTCACACATACTCGTACGTCTGAGAAAATGGGATGACGTCCGCAAAGTGGAGTGCACTAGTCCTCGATCTCCAGTGCCATTTTTTGGCCGTCTGCGTGTACAGACCACAATGGAGCACATTTTCGAAGAGTAAATCAATCAACTGCTTGTGCGATCCGCCATAAAATGGTTCAATAAGGAGAATTTTAGCCATTATTTTCAGCAATTCACACTTAGAATCTCTCTCAATTCATTAAAAATGCTACATGCCGGTAATTTAATTTCTGTGTGTATTGCAGCGATATTTGGTAGAGTTTTAACTTTTAAAACAATACAAAAAACGAATTACGAAAAATTAAAAAGTTGTTAATTCAAAACTGTTTTTCAACTTCATTTTAATATTTCAACAGAGTCAATTTATTAAATATAAGAATTTTTTAATAATAATTTAGTTTAATTTTGTCTTTGTTTCTACGTTTGGCTCGTTTCGTTTCTTCGTACGTTGTTTGCCTGCTTGCCGGTGATATTATCGACTCCGTTTCTTCTGTTTTTACGTTTTCATAAAAATTCAAAATGAGCAAGGCCCATCCGCCAGAGCTTAAAAAGTAATTTTTTTTCACTATTTTGCTTCATAGTTTTAAATATTAAAATCCGTTATCTCTAGAATTACAAAACATGAGCGATAATATAAGATAGGAAAATTTCCAAATTTTTTTCAATTCAAAATTACTAATATCGTTGTCTAACCTTTTTATATGCAGGTTTATGGACAAAAGATTGCAGTGTAAGTAATTTTTTGTGTTTTGGGAGTTGAATGTCCTCTTTTTTTTCTTGTACCTTTAATTTTTAATAAATTTAATTAATCTTTTAATTGACATAGAAATGAAAAAATAACTTAGGATGTTAAATGTTTAGTTTTGTGAGTGATTAATAAATAAGTGATAACATTTTTTGTGGCTTTTTTCTTATTTATGTTTTGCAAATAAATTGACTTTTTAGGGAATTATTTTAAAAATATTTTTGATATATTTTTCAGTAAGATTGAACGGCAGCAGATTAATCACAGGAATTCTCAGAGGTTTCGATCCATTCATGAATCTTGTCATCGATGAGGCTGTTGAAGAGACTAAAACTGGAGAAAGGAATGAAATCGGCATGGTGGTCAGTTCACTCATTTGTTCTTTTCTCTTTGAATATCTTCATCATCATCATCTGTTCTTTGGCATTATTAAAAAATAATATTTGTTTTAAGATTGCTAGTTTTATTTAAGATTTTAAAATGTACTAATATTGAAAATGTTCTCTTTTAAGGTTGTCCGTGGAAATAGTGTCGGATTGCTAGAAGCTTTAGAAAGAGTGATGTAACATCAAAGCTTTTTTATTCCTCAATTTTTTTCCCTTGTTTCATTTTTAAACTGAACCGAACATAAATTCTACAATTAAGAGACAGAACTACAGTTTTCTTTCAATAAAATTTTTATGAAGTAATTTTTTTTAGTTTTGTACTATAATAGAAATTTTGTGCTTTACCATCTTATATTAGCTAGTGTTAAAAAAAATTATTTTGGTTTTCAAATTTGGTTTTTCAAGTCAGCTTCTGTAGTTGGTATAATTGGTGTGTGCAACAGCTTATGACAAACAGAATAAATACATTTGTTTAATGAGCAACCATGTATATATGTATATATTGTAAAAGTGAGCTACTGAAAAATAGCATTCATGTGTTATAACTTCGGACATGCACTTAATTACACCACAAAAGGGTTATAAATTTGTTGATCCACATCTTTGAGGCTGACCAGCTCTATAATAATACTTTAATAACTGACCGTCTTGGGATGTGTGTGTGTGTAACAGGTAAGTTTTATTGCAAAAATAACATTGGTAACTTAATTGTAAACACACAGATGCATGCGATTCCGAAAACCGTGGCGATTGTATTATAAAAAAGTATTGCGGGAAAAAAGAAAATTTTCAAAAATGTATATTAAAATATGCTAATTTATAAAATTTTAGAAAAAATTTGTAGTTGACTTGTAGTTCACATAACTAAAATAAATATAACGGCCTTCGCTCACTTTTAACGGTCGAACAAAGGAGCTTACTTTCGGAAGAGATTTGGAAGGTGATTTATTATCGTTCGAGTCAAGAGTCGGGCTATTTGACATGCTTGGATTATTGGCTTACGAAATTGCATGGATTTTAACGAGCAAGCTATATGAAATATTTACTTGACTTAATATGCTTAAAACATTGTAGTAATTCTCTTTAATTTTATTAAATAAAATTATGATTTTATTAAATAAAATTATGTATTATTAAATTATTGTTGTTAATTTGAATATAAAAATTATACTTTTGATCCTGTGAAATCCGGTGGCTTTTTACTGAAGCCGAAGGTTGGCTTAGTAGGATTGAACCAAAGTCACTCTTTTTTTACACTATTCGATTATGTTAAAAATTTGTTTGCTCATTAAATAAACGGCCTAAATAGATCAAAATTGTTATTTGAACAACTATCTTCATTAAATTCACATTCTATTTTACATTCTGCTGGTGCTCATAGAAATTATGGTTGCTGAAATCATACTTTGGCTTACTGCAGTGGCTTACTGGGTCTCATACAACAGTGTCATGGCGGTTTTCTTTACATATAATGCTTTAAATAGGTCAATATATTCATTTCATAATTATTTTTGTCAATAAAAATAAAGAAATTGTTTTTGTCTGGTAAAATACAGTGGCCAAGTAAAGCCGTATGTTGGCTTAATCGGATTTTTTTTTTCATATATACAACACTATGAGATCAATCAATCAATCAACCAACCATTCATTCAATCAACTAATCAGCCAACCAATCGACCAATCAATGAACCATATTTGAAAAATATTTGCAAGGCTTGTTCAAACTCGAACAAACTCTTAACTGTACAGATCTACAAACAATTTCGAGATTTTAGTAAAGAAAGAAAAACACAATAGTTGCTTTTATTAAATCAAGAAATATCCAAAAATTATATAACCAAATTAAAAAAACTAGAAACCAGTCAACATTTAATGAATAATTAAATAAATAAATAGACATTATTAAAAAGATTGTTCAAAAAGGTAAAAATTAAGGCAACGATGGGAATAAAATGTAGTTTGTTTTGTTGGTGTGGGGCTGTGAAGCGAAAACAAACACATCACAAAAAACTAGTAAAAAGTCGCAAGAATAGTAGTCAGTCACCTACCTACAATTAAATTACTCTCAGGGCCCTAGCTTACTTATAATCATTAACTCAACTCACCTACCTAAAAATATGTTTTTCTACGTTTTTGGAATTTTACATGTTTTAAGTATTTTATTTTACATATTTCAGCGTTTTTATTTTACTTGAAACTTTTTAACTAATGTTAAGCCCTAGCCTACCTACGATTGTTCAACTCATCTCAATCCCTAGCTTACCTACGAATTAAATTAAGTCTGGTAAAGAAAATAGAAAGTTGAAGAAAAACAAAACAACAACGACACCGAATGAATGGATGTTGTGTTTGTGTGTTTTATTGATGAGTGTGTGTAAATGTGTGGGCGTGTACTCTCCAAAAACTTCTTCACTCACTACGGACGAACCTCCATTACACCGACCATCATCTGACACGCATCAATGGAATGAATTTGACCGGATACTGAAAAACACTAAACTGAAAAAAAAAAATTCTTTAAAGTAAAAAACAAGCCATTGGAAAAAAAGGTAACTTATCTTATTGAGATGACAAATTCGAGTACTTTCAATGGTACGATGGTACAAGAACAAATTTTCTTTTATCTTCAAATTGTCATCGGAACGATCATCATGAGACACCATCTGAAACATGCTGACGCCCACCACAGCCCACCTCTTATCATTCTGTAAAAAGATATTTTTATTAGCTTAGTAGTAAATCAAGGAACAAAGGAACGAACGAATAAATGATGAACTGAATGATTTAACGAATGAATAGAATGAATCAATTAGTGGAGGAATAATTTGAAAGATAGTGATAAAATGAATGAGAAAAATAAAAAAAAAACTAAGCCATACTTCAAAAATCGTCGTTTGTTGTTTTCTTCAAATTGTCATCGGAACGATCATCATGAGACCATCATGTGAAACGTGCTGACGCCCACCACAGCCCACCTCTCATCATTCTGTAAAAAGTTATTTTTATTAGCTTAGTAGTAAATCAAGGAACAAAGGAACGAACGAATAAATGATGAACTGAATGATTAACTAATTAGTTAAAAGAATAAATGAATGAATGAATGAATAGAACGAATTAACGTCAATTAATAGAAGAATAATTTGAAAGATTGAGGGAAAAAATGAATGAATGAGAAAAATAAAAAAAACGAAACTAAACCATACTTCAAAAATCGTCGTTACTTCAATCCATTGCACCGACCGCACCGACCACCACATTCAGATCGGCACACAAGATTTCATCCGAACTTCTGAGTGTCAGTCGAACAGCCAACGCGCTGATTCTTCCTACACCACATCATCATACGTAAATCATCATGAGACCACCATCTGAAACGTGCTGACTCCCACCACTGCCCACCTCTCATCATTCTGTAGACAATTTTTTCATTAGCGTAGTAGTAAATGAATGTTAGAATCTTAGAAGCAAAAAATTATAAAATGGAAATAATGGCAAATAAATAATAACTGAAAATAATAAAGAGATTAAAATGTAAAAAAAAACTTACCGTCGTCCATTCGACAAAGGCAGAATGTTGAATGCTTTCCGGTTCCTACGTTGTCCTCCAAAACTGGTGCCAGTCCTCCTCGAGATTGTTGTTGAAACACAGCCCGTGTTGATGGAGAAAGATAAACAGAAGATTCTCATCAAAAAGCTTAGCGGTGCCTGCATCTCAAATTGCTTAATAAAAATAATCCTATCTACCTATTCAATTACCTTAGCTAATTTATATTAAATTATTAATGGTACGATAGTCGAAAGTCCCCCTTCATTCTCCCTCCTTGCACAAAGGTTCACCGACAGCCAGGGCACCGGATAGTAAACCATTGCCGTGCGGATAGTAGACTATTGCTGTGCGGATAGTAAACCATTTGCCGTCCGGAAGCCGTGCGGGTAGTAGACTATGGCCATGCCGCATAGTAAATCATTACCGTGCAGATAGTAAACCATTGCCGTCCGGATAGTAAACCATTGCCGGTTCACCACTGGCCACCAAGGCTTACCTCTGACAACGGACTTTGAAATTCAGAGTCTATCGGCTATCGTACCCTCAACTTACCTATTCATTACAATTAAGCCCTAGCTTACCTAAAATTACAAAACTCAAGAGCCCAATTCATTGGCCTTTCGGCACCCACCCCACCACCTACGTAATGCCTTGGGCTCCAACTTAGTAATAATAATATAAAACTTAAACCCTAAATCTATTAATGAGTATGTGTTACAACGTAGCCTTAACTTACCTATTCATTACATTATGGCCTTAACTTACCTAAAATTACAAAACTCAAGAGCCCAATTCACTGGCCTTTCGGCACCCACCCCACCACCTACGTAATGCCTTGGGTTCCGACATAATAATAATAATATAAAACTTATAATTAACCTACCTATCGATACACATACAGCGTTTTAATTTACATTACAAGATTGTTCCAAGAATTACATTATTGCCCTTAACTACCTATGAAAATAAATTATTCTCAACCTTAGTAATAATAAATTAGAATGTGTATTGAAAATAAAATTACGCTCAAATACTAATATATGTGTTTATGTATGTGTTTGTATGTGTGTGTGTGTGTGTGTGTGTGTGTGTGTGTGTGTGTGTGTGTGTGTGTGTGTGTGTAATACGCTAATGCGTGTAATGTAGATGCAAGAAAAAATAGAAGCGATAAACTTACGCGCCTACCTAATCAACTACATTAGTGTTGGATGCTTCCTATCTATTCTACCTACAATTAAAATTATGCCTATCTAACCTACCTATATAGCTACTTAATGTAATTGTGTGTGTGTATGTGTGCGTGTAAGCATTCTTACTTATTTTTAAATTAGAGAAAAAAGAATAAAACGTATCCCAGCCAGACGTGTATTCTTTGCCTCGGAATGAATGAACGTAGCCTGACATCTTCCATGATGAACTCCTCTGAAAGCTTCAGCCTGAATGAAATGAAAAAATCTTATTTATTTCATTAATTTAAATGAAAATAGAGAAACGAGCCGCGGTGAAACCCGCCAACCGGAAAAGCCAGCCAATAGGCAAAAAGAGAAACCGCAAAGAAACCGTAAAACGAACCCCAGCCAGTCGTGCATTCTTTGACACTGAATGAACGAACGTAACGTGACATCACAACTATTCTGATCTTCCACGATGAACTCCTCCGAAAGCTTCAACCTGAATGAATGAACCTGAAAGAACCTAAATAAATGGACAAATCTTATTTATTTAATTTATTCAAATGAAAATAGAGAAACCCAAAGAAGCCGACCGGTCGGCAAAGAAAAGAACCTCAAAGAAAGGTATCTATATAGGATTTATGCTCTATATAACTCTATATAACTCTATATAACTCTATATAACTCTATATAACCGCGCAAACTCTATATAACCATTCAAACTGCCAAATTCAATCAATAAAATTTCCACCAGGAACCACAATCAATAAAACCAGGAACCACCGCGTACCTGTTGAAGGTGTAGTCTTAAACAAAACAAAAAAAAACACAAAACAAAATACACACCACCAAGTAAGAGTGAAAGAATAGATGTTCCTAACCTACCTATGTAACTAAATTACCTTATGCCCTAGCCTACCTATATAATAAATTAATTTTGAATCTCACCTACCTATGTTTCATTAACTTAACTCAAGACTCATGAAGAAAGTGAAAAAGGAGCAAAACAGAACATAACATACTACCACAAAAAACAAACATAGTGTATGTATGTGTGTGTGTGTGTATGTGTATGTGTGTATGTGTGTGTGTATGTGTGTGTGTGTGTGTATGTGTGTGTGTGTGTGTATGTGTGTGTGTGTGTGTGTGTGTGTGTGTATGTATGTATGTATGTATGTATGTATGTATGTATGTATGTATGTATCAAATCAAATCACTTTTATTCAATCAAACAAAACAAAAGCATGAATGATTCGGAGACCAAAAAAAGAAAATTAATTCTTGTGGGCTCGGCCACCGTGCAGCTCAAAATTGCTTCTCAATGATAAAATAAAATTGTCAATAGGAGAAAATGTATCAATGTTAATGAAATATGTACACACTTATATACATATATATATACATATACATTATTATCCTTGAAAAACAGAACTTTTCGTAATTATGTATGTATGTATGTATGTATGTATGTATGTATGTATGTATGTATGTATGTATGTATGTATGTATGTATGTATGTATGTATGTATGTATGTATGTATGTATGTATGTATGTATGTATGTATGTATGTATGTATGTATGTATGTATGTATGTATGTATGTATGTATGTATGTATGTATGTATG